AAAGCATAACTTACCTGGATAGTGTATCTCACAAACCTGAACTACAGATTGGTGAATGAGGTATTTCTAAGAATAAAATAGCTCAAATGCAAAACCTCACTATTAGAACATGATAAGCCCAAGTTTTCTAAAAAAATACAGACAGGTAGAGGAAGCACGTAATTAATTTACTTCCTTAATGTTTTCTCACACAAAACTCAGAGTAGCCTAGACTGGAAGTGACTTTAGCACAATTCTCTGTGTGTGAGAGTACAATGCTGAGCGCATGGGAACAAATTAAAGTATTTATGTTCCTGCTGTTGAACCACAATTTCAGACTGATACAAATCACCTTTCTAGGAATAATCAGGTAAATGTCACTGCAACTTAAAAGTCAAAGGAATTCTGTAATAAAGAATTTTCAGTTTTTCTGTCAAGGTATTTTTATCTACACAAATCAAGTTCAGTTCTCATTATTTTCAATGAAAAGAAATACACTCTAACCAAACAACATTCCCCTCACGCTGTTCATTTTCACCCAGAAAGAATCCATTTCTGTTCACAGAGTCAGAAATCAGCTCACAGTCATTTAACTAAATTATGGGTAAATAAAATATACAGTTTTGATCYAGGCTTCAGAAATGAATCCCATCTTTGAGCTCCTGTTTAACATCCACTATTTGGAGCTTTAATTCTGGAAAAAATACTATTAAAATAAAACAAAGGAAAAGAAAAAAAAAANGAAAAGAAAAGAAAAGAAAAGAAAAGAAAAGAAAAGAAAAGAAAAGAAAAGAAAAGAAAAGAAAAGAAAAGAAAAGAAAAGAAAAGAAAAGAAAAAAAAAGAAAAAAAAGAAAAACTAGGATCAGAAGCTAACAGTGTCTGTAGCTAAACACCTTTATCTAAACTGATACAGAAATCAGCTGGATAGAAACCTTCTAGCCCAGTTTTGAGTATCAAAAAGCAGTCACTCTAAGGATATTTCCCAGTCACTCTAAGGATATTTCCTCTAAACAACTGTGCTGAGCACTAATTGAAGAGAGATTGTATCACACACCCTGATTACATATTCATTAAGTATTCCCACTTCCTTGATTTTATTTTATATAATCACACCCCTAATCAGAAGCCCTTATCTGGTTCTTTGGGGTCTGTCTTCAACGTCAGTTGTCCTTTTTAGGTGGTTGTTCCTCTACTCCTGCTTTTGAGTAAGCACGATAACCATGTTCTKCATAACTTCTGCTTTGTCTGCTTTGCAGACCTGAGCTGCTTTCATTTTGYATGATTTCTGTTTGCCTAAGTTMCACCCTTTATCTCTTCCTTCAAAGCTGTATTGTTCTGTTCTTCTGCTCTTGATAAGAGTAAGATGTTGTTCTGTTTTACCATCCTTATCAAGTGAGTAAAATGCTRTTCTGCTCTACTGTCCTTATCAAAACTATTTTCTATTTTCCACTTTTTAAAMAATTTGTTGTACATGGAGAAAAAGGCTAAGGTGAAATGTTAACACCACAATAAATATCCATTTGGTTGGAGACTGGATTTAGATTTCAAATTGTGGTAGACTCCAGCTCCAACTTGGATTATTGCCTGACAAATAATCCAAGTCAGTTCTGCAATGAMTATATTAACCATGTAGTTTCTTTTAAATTGTGATTTCTATCATTGCATGAATAAAAATTAGTCCAATACAAGTACCTTTACTTGGTGCAAAGTTTTCCTTCACAGCATAACCTTGTGTGACCTGGAAATCTCCGTTCCTACCCTGACATCTGCAAATATATAGAAAAAGATGTTTCCATAAGACATAGCTAAGAAAAAATAGCTAAGAAGCATGAGCTTTTCACAGTGCTTACTGCAATTGTTTTTATAATCACAAAATCATGGGATGGTTTGGCTTAGAAGGGACATTTAAACATCCCTGCCACCCTGCTGAGAATCCCATCCAACCTGGCCTTGAACACTTCCAGTGAAGGAGCAGCCACAATTTCACTGAGCAAGCTGTTCTCAGACACTGGGGGATGCCCCAATCTGGGTGCAGGACTTTGTTAAATCCGTGAAGCTTATATAACCCCATTCCTCAAGCCTGTCAAGCAGAATAAAACAGACACAAACCAAAGAACAGACTGTCTAAATAAGGGATGACTGAGAAGCAAAGCATTGAAAAGCAAAGCATCAAGAATTAAAATTAAGCCCGGAAAGCCACACGTGTGTTCATCTTGTATGCAGACAGTGTCTGCTGCTCTCCAGGATGAATTATCAGCCTTTGCTTCTGTTACTTGGGAAGATTCTCAGARTGGCCACATGATGGTAGCCGAGGATCAGGCACAAGCAAAAGAACTCATGAAAGTAAAGGAAACAAGGAGGAAAATTGATGCTTGTAAACTGGAATAAATCTCTGGATGAGTTCCTCATCACCACACAGTGAGGACCTGAGCTATGATTCAGCTTCCAGGTATTGTAATATCCAGAACAGAAGTGCCAAGTGCACCTGCTGGAGAGCCTTATACTGAGATAACACTGWATGTTTGGAGCTCTGCACTCTTACAGACAAAATCATATTTGGCAAACTTCTGTTTGCACTTTGCTTACCGTGTGAGGTCAGCATATCATCATCTCCAGYGTCCTACAATTTCCCCTTTTCTTCTAAACTGTAATACAGAAGGTTTAAACAAATCTCCTTGCTACAGACTCAGAATGTCTTATTTATTAGGAAAAAAAAAAAAAATACTGGCTTTTACCAAATGGCACAAATATATGAAAAGAAGGATTTGGGGCAAAATCAGCTGATTCCAGGAGAAGGCCTGGTGGTATTTGCAGAGTTGACCCAAATCCAGACAATATATTCTTAGCTTGTTTTTTTTGTAAGGATGTAAACTTCTTGTGAGTTTTGAGGCATAGCTTGGTTGTGTGAAAATGTGAAAACAGTGTTCAAGTTCCACAGTAAAGGTCACTGTGCCTGAATCCTGCTTTGGGCTTGGACAATTCTACTACACATATCTATATACTCACTGGTGGAATTAAGGCAAAAAAGGAAAAAAAAAGGGGAGGAAAAAAAAAAGCAAACACACCAAGCTAAAAACAAGATGATACTACCACTTCCTTTCTCACATAAAAGGTGACTGGTTTAAAATAGATTAAACCAGAGAAACAAAATCAAAAATGAATGAAAGATTCTCTTTTGATGATTAACCTCTTCATTACCATAACTGCAATGTTTACTCTTAACATCCACTGTGAAGAAGGGTAAATGCAAGTTGTGGAATTGATATGTTTTAAATGAAAGGCTACAAAGCTAGTCATATAAAWGTTGTACAATTATTCTGGTTTTAAGGATACAGGTTGACCCAAAAAGTCTGTGCTAAAATGTGCTGGCCTTGTAAAGGATACCTTTAGAGTGCTCTGGCAGGTAACTCCCCTCCCTTTCTTTAAGAAAATCAAATCACCCTTCAGACTGCACAGCAGCTAAGGAGAACTTCGTCATCAGATTGGGTGGCTTGGTGAAAACATCCATGTCTAGACCAAACACTGATTAYGAGACTCTAATTGGCAACACTGGGATGCCTCTGTAGAACTCCAAATTCTGTGCAGAGGTGGTCTTGGACATAATCATGAGGCCTTACATTCCATGCAATTAAATTGCCAATGCTGAAACTGATAAAATATTGTTTACTCTGTATAAATATTGAAGGCTCCAGCTTTTTCAATCAGTATGAAAAAATTTATTAAGAAAAATTATTTGAAAAATAAATTAAGCTTTTATTCCAGTTCAGTTCCCAGTAACCTAATTCACTGTAAGAGTTGTTACATCATGGGGACTCAGGGTTCCAAGAATAATTCTGTTCTGAGAACAGAACAGGGTTCAGTTTCAAGAATTACAGAAACAGAATAGTTACAAAAGTTACAAAAGTTACAAAAGTCTCATCATTATCACAGTCCTCCAGCAGACCTCTTTCAATTCCTCTACACAGCAGCAATCAGAAGTCACTCATTTCTGCACATCCTGAAATGAAATGTCTTAGCAGGGAACATGGTAGTGGCCTGCCGTTTACTCTGTCAATAAAATTGAGGAATTGAGACCTGAAGAAGAGGAAACCTCTCAAGAACTGTCCCCTACCTATTCTTCCTCTGCCCAGAAGAGCAACAAGAGCAAAGGCTGATGACAGTGAAGACGTAAAAGAYACAGACAGACGGAGGACAGATTCAATATAATTTACCACTCCTTCAGTGAGATATGCCACTAAAGAGTAGCACAGTGAACATTATAAATTATCAGATTTAAATGTTATCTATTTTAATAACTTCATTTTCCTGTCAAAAATATTTGAMGATGAGGAACACAGATAGCTCTGTACTCAGGCTGTCCTATGGGGTACATGAAAAAGCAGATTCTGTGCCTCTCAGTTCCAGGACAGACCAGCACAGACCAGTGACATGCTGCTGCTTTGATACACTCAGGACATTTGCACACATGAACAATCTTTGCCTGATCTGACCACTGAATTTTTATTATATTGATTGAAGCCAGGCCAGAAAATGAATACTMATGTCAAGCAGGGAAGTTTTGAGACAGTGGCATGGTTTGTTAGCCATCTGTATGAAATGAGGCTGGCTGCAGCAAAGCTGGGAACAGCTCTTTTGGAGGCCAGAGCAGCTGGCTGATGCTCCTGTGCAGCACAGAGTCCCTAAATGATGAGCAGAAAACAGTGGTGTGGCTTGRAGCAATGGTACCCAACCTACATCCAAGCCACAAGGAAGACTCATATTCTTTTAACTTTCGGGGGTCCCTGTACAAACATCTACATGAAAAATGTGTGACAGAAATGAGTGATAATTATGTGAATGAAGCAGTGAAGAAGGTGTCCTTCTATCTTGACCTATTTGTCTCCCAAGGCGGGGAGTGACCCTGAGTCTCCCCATGGTTTAACGGAAGTAAGGATAAAGGAAATGAGGCAATGAAATCACATTGTCACAGCATGCAAAAATCTACACAGGCAAAATCATAGTTTCTATCCTTTTTCTTCTCCATTCCAGTAAGCACCACAGGGAAACAGCCTTTCAAGGAGGAGGTACGTTTACTTTTGTCTTTGTTTTGCTTTTCTGTCTTTTCTGTTTTTCTTTTTTTTTTTTACTCCAAAGAAAATAGGCAAAAAAAATACTGAGTTTTGTTATTTCTGCTAGATTTAATATTAAAACAACTGTGAGGCGTGGATATGCCTGCTTGCATCCAATTAATGCTTCAGCTGATATTTTGATGGCATATTTTTTCTACATTCTGAAAATAATTGYATAGATATATTTTAAAATTTGCAGAGTTCCCAGTGTTATTGGCCTCATCCACATAGCAGCATTTTGTTTGCAAAATTAAACCTGCATTCAMAATTGGAGAGTGCCTGTGCCACTTTTATTTGAAAACAGTCAAATTGGAAATGTTTGGTTTTAGATCTTTATATCCATAGAGTAAAATCACTACATGGAATGAATCTCTTTTAGGAGTACTGCACTTAGGCACCAGTAGAATGGAAGTATATGAGTGTCTTTTCTCTTTTATGAATTTAATACTTAAGTAGAAGATTTGATATACACAACTCCCTGAAAATGCTGCAGGAATGCAGGCATAATTTTATCCGCATAGCACATCCAACATATAAGCAGTAATTCCATTTCATATTTTCCAACTGAAAAAAAAAATGCTTTAAAAAATCTTTCAGAAGCAAAACTGGGGGAAAATCTCAGAGATGTAGTCCTATGTACCATACTCAACACAGATTTTTTCTTAATAAAATAATCATATATAAATACAGTATATGTCTTGGGGTTTTGTTTTTTTTTTTCAGTTACAAACCTTTCTTTTCATTGGCTATAAAAATCATAGTGGGGTCAAAATATGCTAAAATATATGCTTATGTGTTATACTTAATCAACAGATTATTGGACAGTTTGTATTCTGGTCTAATCACCACTCTAATCAAGCTGGGTAAGATTAGACACTGCAGTAGAATTTCAGCTTCTGAATTCCTAYCATGACTGTCTCCTGTGGAAGGGTGTTTGCATTCAGGTTTCTCTGAAGTAACTGAGAGTGCTTTGTGCTGTAGCACAGAGTCTAACAGTAGCCAATTTTCTTGGGAATTTTATAAACTGCAGTAGAGAATGGAAATAATTACACACAGAAATACTTCCATTTTCCTTAAGATTTATTCTGATCAATAATCTGCGCAGGAACTATTCGAGATGTGGAAGCAAGTTTGAAACATCTCTGGGGAAAATTGTACTGCCCCACTGCAACTGTTTTTTCTAAAGAGAAGCAGCACATTATACTAGCACAGGTATAAGAAAGAGGAGGAAAAGGCATTTTTAATAATAAATTTTCTGTTTTCTACTGAAAATGTAATAGTGTCAGTATTTCTGTTTAGTAATTACATGTGGATTCCAGATGATGTAAGAAAGGAAAAGAATGAATCCTCTTGGATTTACCTGACCAAGATGGATAGCTCAGAGTTAGATTGCTCTAGATAGGTCAACGTGGGTTGTATTTTCAGTAAATGGTAGAAAATAATTATAGCGAAGCCTTTATTCATCTTGTCCTAGACTAGACTGGATAAATTGTGTCTGAAGTAGCTGGGTTTTTCCAGGGCATGTTGAGGCAGTATAGAATGACTGGTTCCCCTACAAGCCTCTACACAGCTTTTTGGTAGGTGTAGGTAAGATAAACTCCATCTCATACCTAACAGCATCTTTAGACTTAAGTTAAAATGTTAAAGTAGTTTAATTGCTTTTTTAAAAAAATTCCAATATCTAGTACATTATTTAACATTCTTTACAAAGTATCTGGTCATTTATGTCTCAGAGTCAAGAACAGTTTATACATTTTTTTAGTTGAAGAACCATTGAATAAAAGCACAAATTCTCTTGAGCTCARGACCCAAAAGTGACATTCTGTCCTTCTCTGCTAGTAATGTTTGTTACCACAARTGATTGCAGAGCCARATTTTCTTATCTCTGAYATTTTTCTGAAGMTAAGAYACCTACATAGTTTCTAATGTCTGAYCAAGAGATGGAGATAATCTAAGYTGACACAATAGACATATACAAATAAATATAAATAAAAGTGTGTACATGAAATAATGGGTTGTTAYGCAGTTGGGTGCAATCATATTTGTCACATCTCAGTTAATTAGCTTACCTCTTTCATGAAAAAAATGTCAAACATTCCAAATATATCTAAAGATAGCAAAATATATTATAATAAGTTATTTGTGCCTGAAACAAAGGATGCTTCAGAGGATATTAACATACTTACATATGTATTTTATTAACATCACAAATAATACAGGAGGCAGTTCAGAAGGAGGAGTATAATACAAAGAAACCAAACTTGTTTTTGCATCACAGCTCACAGAGAGGACTAATGAGAATACAGTACTGCCATKTTTTTAAGGAAATAAAGATGTGACAAATATGGGGGCATTTCAAATAGGAGTGGTTAAGCAAAAAGACACTAAAACAATTTAGCTAGTCCTCAGTATAAACAGGAGATGGAAAAATATCAGTGTATCTTTAAAATAATGTGAGATAAAAGTCTCATGAAGACTTAGCTCTATTCCAGGTGCCGTGAAAAATAAAAATGTAGTGTTGAGAGTGTTGGGTAAATACGGTAGACTCAAAAATAAACCTTAAAGGGAGAGAAGTAGGAGATGATAGATTTTCTTTGGCATAACCAGAGAAATGTGATTAAATAAAAAAAGAGAAATAAGTGCCCTAAAAACCTGGGGAAAAAGAAGTCCAGTCAGAAAGGGTATAGAGAGACTTGTTCCCAGCATGTGCCTGATGTTGGTATAAACGTGACACTGCAGCTGGTCTTGGCTGCTCTGTAGGCAGAGTAATGTTCTGCCTGTAGAACCTGTTCTAACTAAAGAATTTCTGACAATATCTCTATATGCTTGTCTTGGCTATAAAAATGGAGGTCATCAATGAAGAGTCCAATGATGTGGTTTTATTTTCCTTTTCCTTGACTACAATAACACTTAAGAGTTTCTTTCACCCTATTTCCTTCTTTGTTGACCAGTTCAACTGCTTGTTGGACCACACATGAACCAGTGTGAAATAATTTAAAATCAGAATAACCCTTTTTTCTTTAGATTTACACCATTGCTAAAGGTTTGAGGGGGCCCGTCTTTCTATGATTCTTGCACAGCACCTGTGATCCTACATCAGATTGCTGCATTTACATAGCTATTCTTCATGGGAAGAAAAATTCTTTATTTGTTTTGTAAATGAGCACTTGAAGTACCCAGACTGGGTTGGCCCTGGGTCATAAAGTGAATCTGTGACAGACCAGAGAGCTGATCCAAACTCTCCATCACCTCATCACAGTAATGCAATCACTGAGCTCTCAAACATAGTTTGTTTTATACATATATAAACTTACACACAAATTGGATATAAACARCTCTATGCTGAGAGCTTTGATACCTCTAGTGGCTAGATAAAGGTCAATATTTATTGCAGCAACAGAAATAGCTTAGACACCTGTTCTCTGAGTCTGTTGCTAACCCACACTGCCATCTCAGATGAACTGGTTCCACTGCTGATGCTAAAAAATGCCACATGGGAAAAAAATGGAATAAACTGCTGAGAGGAGCATTAGTTGTAATGATGAACACTTGTTCAAAACTACTCACTATGAGGCCCCACAAGGATTGGCACTAGCACAGCCAGGGAGGCAGGATGGAATACGAAAGAATCCATGAAGGATGGGGAAGGACAGGGGAGGATTAGGCCAACAGTGGCATTGAGAGAAATGCTGCTGAACCAACCTCTTGAAAAAGTTTCAGCCTTCCTATTGGAAGAGAGAAAGTTTTCCAGCCTTCCTATTGGAAGAGAGAAAGTTTTCCAGCTATCCAGAAGAACTTTGATAACTTTCTTATCTCTTGAAAAAATCCTTTTTATTTCCAAAGGTGTAAAAATCTGATCTGGAGTTTTAGGGCTAACTAGAGAGTTATGTGTGAAGATGATACGTGTGGTGCTTAAACTCAATGATTAATGATGGGTTAATCTTAGAAAGCTGTGGCCCGGTTCTTCAATTCACAATGATATCTGTTAAGAAGAGGTACTGAATATTTATCATTTCCTGCTCGAGATCTCACCTTCTGGTAGAGGAGAATCACWMCAAGAATTCATTCAGTTTGTGAGTMCCAGCTTTGAGTTAACTTAAGCAAGCTGTAAACTCCTGCTTCAATTTTGTCTTGCTTTCATACTAATTATATGGATATTCAGTCCTGTTTCTATCAAGCTCAGTGCTAATAATATTCCCCATATCCTTGAATCCAAAGTACTGGAAGAGATCACTGGCCATTTTCAATTCCTAATTGAAAAGTATGCTATTCTCCCTTCAAAATTGCAACACTTCTGCAGGACTAGCTTCAGAAAGCAGTCTCAGGGTTAGATTGTCACAGTTGTCACGCAGAAGAAAGTGGTGAATGTCTTATTTTGAATTATTAGTGCTTTGTAATCAATAAGAGCAGAAGACAAGCACAGAAGAGAGAACTTTGCAGCCTTGCTCACGGTTGGAGAACTTCTATTCCATGGTAGACTGGGCCTCAGCTAAACAGGGAACTAAACTAAGGATGCCATGATGACCATCTCTGTTATTAACTTGCACTAAATCACTGTGTCTGAGTTGATTAAAGGTTTGGTTGAAKCCCAGCCACATCCATGGCTTCATCCATCACACCATGACACAATGGGAGATAATCCTCATGGCYCAACACAAGTAAAATCATTGCTATCTTCAAGTAAGCACAAAACTACAAGACCCAAAAAATATAGTCAGATTTGCTAAATAGGTAGCTAAAAATTGCTAAATGGTCTTGCAAAGATCTGTGTTATTTGAGTAGTTATTCAATCTTTCTGCAGAGTGAGCATGGGATATTCTCTCTGTGTTCACAGGCATGAATGGGACAGCCATTGAGAATTTTGTCTGTGTCATTTTTAATGTTTCCTTCATGAACTGCACCTGGCATGTGGGCAGGGCTGCTACAGAAGATACCCAATATTTCCTGTACTGGAGGTCCTCAAAGTAAGTAGGTTTGCTTGAATCTCAGGAATTTTGATTGGTGGTTGGACATGAGACAYTGTCAATTCTTAACTGACACAGTATTTCATGTAAAGGAAAGAAGACATCACAGAATGCCAAAATTACATCAAAGATAATTATGGAAGGCACACAGGATGTCAATTCCAAAATGTGACAATAGAAATGCGGCTTGCTTATTTCCTGGTAAATGGGTCTAGAAGCGGACAAAACATTCAGCCATATGAGAAGAAGATAATGCTGTACCAAATTGGTAAGATTTATTATCGATTTAATTTCCAGTTATATGTTAAAGGAATGAAGAATTCAACCCTGAGAAAAAGCGTACATCTTTAAAGTATTGCTCCTCATAACAGGTTGTTTTTTTACTTTTTCTCAGCCCTGATGTTTGAAAAGTCTAAAGTGTCAGAATGGACAAAAAMTAATGAATACATAAGCAATCTGGAATCATAGGTCAGAGAACTGGGAGTATTTCAGTCAAATATTTATTATCTGAAAGAAAGGTGTCATCTTTTAGGATTAACTAAGGATTCCTGAGTGGGACTATGCTGGTCTTTTATTGTTATCTTGTCATGTTATCCATCCACATAATTCTTGTAATGTTGTTCAACCACAGTTACTTTTACGCTGTGAGCAAAAGCTCCCTTTTTTTTTTAAATGGAAGAATGTTGTAAGAAAAAAAAATTCTGTTTAATTTGAGCTGAGTATTAAAACTACCTCTAAACACAAAAAAAAAATAAAAAAAAATAAAAAATAAAAACAACCCTGCATAAATATATGCTGAACTAACTAAATTCTAATAAATGGTTTGTGWTTTTTTAATTTTACTTACTGTTGCAGCTGGTGCTCCAGGCTCCTCAACTGAAATGTTAAATCAGGGAGTCCCACTTCAGAACACGGGGAGAATATAGTAATTCTACTAAAGCTGCATTACATTTTTTTAGACCAATTGCTTGAACATCTACCTATATGTTTAAAATGTCAGAGTGAAGAAAGCTATGACTAATTTATAGTATTTCTGATTATATTCTTGTAGAAAAGCTCACCCCTCCATTAAATGTCATGGTGAATTGTACAGAAGCTTCTCACAGATGTAGTATTTCATGGCAACCACCTCACACAAGCCACGTGAAAATAAGTAGTTGTTTCAAATATGAAATTTTCATAGAAAACAAGGTAAGAATAATTATGACTTTTAGTAGAACTTTGTATGTCTCTGTTTCCACACATACCACCAAACAACCTGTACCCTGTTCTCATCCCTTTCTTTTGAAGGCTTAGATGAATACAGAAAGTAATGCTAGATCCTTTAAAAATAAAGTTCAAAATATTTGTGGGAACATTTGGGAGCTTGTTGTTCTAACTGAAGAAAAAAATTAAAAAAAAAAATAAAAAAAGAAGGAAAAGCATACCTAAACTAAATGTTGACAAATGTGAAATCTATACAAGCAAAAAAAAAGGAAAACTATTGTCTGAGTTTGTTAGTAAATTTTAGATTCTTTGTTTTAACAAGTAAAATGTAAATATTTTGTCAACCTGAGCCTTTTTTTAGTGCTTTGATAGTCAATTCTGCAATCCAATTGAAATGATACAATATTTTGCATATTTTAGTTTTTGAAAATARCCACTGTAATGGAGTGCAAGATCTTTAAAGAATTTCTTCTGTAAAGTCTCATTGCTTAGCAGATTCTAAGGGGTCAGGGAAGCACATGACAAATTCCATCTTCATATTACCCAGTAACAAAAATATTCAAACAAGAGGAATTAGGATGAAACAATTTAATTTTTAAGGGATATTTTTCTATTTGTTATTTCATTCTAATCTGTCCACAGAAAGACCATATAAATCTAAAATGCAAAATTTTGTCATAATGTAAAAATAATACAAAAATTGTCATACTACTTGTTTTGCTTTTAGACAGTAATTGTTGAAAAGAACTTTTACCTGTATGAGAGCTTCAGCCCAGGAAAAAGGTACAGCGTCAAAATCAGAGCAACTGATGCGGGCTTTTGTATGGTGAGCCCAAGCTGGGGAGAGTGGAGTACACCCGTGGAGTTTGGTAAGAATGAAAATCCCTTCCTTGACCTAATTCTGCTATTACTTCTCTGCCTAATTTATTACTTACAGTCAGAAATACATTGATAATTACACATTTATTTGATAGGAAAAAGGGGGATGAAGAATTGGCATGTCTCAATATTTTGGAGCTCTCCAAGCATTCTTGGGAGACAATGCTTCTTGCACGGGGACAGTGAATAAAGCAGACCTTTCCAAGGTCTGTTGTCAGCTCCTTTGCTTCTTCCATCTTTACTGCTGACTTTATAAACTCCTTTTTCCTGCTGTTGCTCTCTACCACCTCGGATATTTAAATACTCTGTAGGACTCATTTCCTCACGTCTCACGTTACTGTGGACAGTCCATTATTGTCAGCCATCCTATCCCTTCGCATGCCACAGGGCAGTGAGGGGCTAAACTAAAGAAGTGTTTGACACTGATGCAAAGCAGACTGCACATAGCTGTGCAATCATTCGTGTCCTGTGATCCTAACCAGCATTTTGATGATTGCTTGACTTTCAGGAACACAACAACTTACATCTCTCTCATCATATATGCTGTTTCTGATACCAGTGCTGGCAGTGGGTCTCATTTTTTTTCTCTACATCACAATGTAAGCCTCATTTCTTGTGCAAATTTTTTTATTCTGCAGTTGAAATAACACTTCCCCCAACAGAAAATTTCTGGCTTTGTTTTAAAGGAGACAAGGGAGGGAGAAAATCTACACTAGGAATCACCTGCTGGATGTTCCTCAATCCTATTGAGTGTGTTCTATCCTTCTGATTTCCAGCTTTCATATTCACTTGATAAATATAACACAATTCTTTCCCAGACTGGGACAAGGCCTTGTATCAGTACTGCATTCCTACCATCAGATCCTACAATGTAGATGGGTGGTACATAAAATTGTTTCCATCTTTTGATGATATTTTCCTTTAATATACTTAAGAAACAACTTCCTACAAGGCTTTAGTAAGTAAAAAAAAAAAAATTATTGCCATCCAAATTCTGTACAACAGAATTAKAACATCATATTCAGCCTATGAAATTTTTATCTACTTTTGACTAAGAAGAATACTACTYATGTCTCAGAGAAATAAAGTAATACCTCAGGAGCATTATTATATAGTATGTGTTAATATGTTTACACACTAAGTCTTTTCTTCACTTTTTGTCACTGTAGAAGGGCTTATTTGAAAAAAACATCTGCTACAGTACCACAGCCAAGAGACCCATTCCSTGAGGCCTGTCCAATGGACTTCCCGGTATGTTTTATTTCTACTTGTCTGAAATTGAAGAATTTAGTCTCAAAGGTATGACCTAAGTATCAGAAAGATGTGCACAAGCAAAAATTCATTTTATTTCATTTTCTTGTTTTTGGGGTATGGAAAGAGAAGGTTCATATGCAAATAACTTGTGTGTATTACTGGTGAGCCTTTAAAAAACCTTTTACTTTCTCTTCCTTTGTCACGTTAACTTTTCTATGATTTAAAAGAWGAGGTTTCCAACTTTTTTAGTTAAAAAGTCTTTTGTTCCTCTTTGGGAGCTCTATGGAAGGAAAATCTAGATATGTCTGCTTTGGTCTTCAAACTGACAGAGTCTGCTACAGCTTCTGTACAATAAATAACAACTCTTAATCATGACCTTGTGACTAATCTCATACATGAAACACTAACAAAATGTTTTATTCTTTCTTTAATAGACAGAATATATTAATCAATTACAAAACCGTGAAACTGAAGAAATAAGTATTGAAGAAGTGATGGAATGCAAGTGAAATGAGCAACTTGGCTTTTTTCAAACACATTTATCTTGTTGGCAAAAATTAACAGGCTTTTCATATTCTCTGACTCCTGAAAACAGGGAGAAAAGCATTGACTGTAGACACAAGTCCCCAAGAGCTTATATTTGAAAGCCTCTTTGTATTTGGTTGCGTTTTTTATAAACAGTTCAAGTTTGGACTCTTTATGGTTTTTTTTTATTATGATGATATAACATATAATATTTTAGTATTGCTTTGGAAGTCATTACACTGTTTTTCAACACCATTCAAAAGAAAAAGTAAGAGCAACCCAACTTAAGGGGTTTATTCAGGCTCTCCAATGGTTCAGTGGCTTAGAAAAGGTATAGCAATATTGAGATTGTGATCAGGATTAAAAAAATTGATATCTGTATGAAAGTCCACCAAAAAACAGCCAAAATCATAAGCAAGATCACTTGCTCATACRAAATCAGTATTATTAAAGAGTTCAGGATACAATTTTTTCATAATTCTATTTGTTGCCTCCCATTTTTCATCATATCAGTCAGCAGTGCCCTGGCAGCCAGAAGGGCCAACCCTGTCCTGGGGGCATCAGGCACAGCCTCACCAACCGGGGCAAGGGAGGGGATTGTCCCACTCTGCTCCGACCTGGGGTGGCCTCATCTCAAGGGCTGGGGGCAGCTTTGGGTGCCACAACACAATAAAAATATAAAACCATTATAGAGTGCCCAAAGAATGGCTACGAGGATGATGAAGAGCCTTGAGGGCAAGTCATATGAGAAGTGGCTGAGGTCTCTTGGTCTGTTCAGCCTGGAGGACACTGAGASGACACATCATTGCAGCTACAACTTCCTCTTGAGGGGAAATAGAGGGACAGGCACTGATCTCTTCTCTGTGGTGATCTGATAGGACCTGAGGGAATGGCCTGAAGGGGAGGCTTATCTAGGGTATTAGAAAAATTCCTCACCCAGAGGGTGGTTGGACACTGGAACAGATTCTGCAGGGAAATGATCACAGTACCAGCCTGACAGAGTTCAAGAGGCATTTGGACAACACCCTCAGTCACAGAGTGTGATTCTTGGGGCTGTCCTGARCAAGACCTAAGCTTGCACTCAATCATTCTTGTGGGTTGTTTCCAACTCAGGGTTTTCTATAATTTTTCTATGTTTCTGTGTTTCCAAATGAGCTTTCAATAAAAATTTATTTTGAATGTCTTTTTAAAACAGTCCCAGAGAAGGATCCTTCTGCTTAAGTTATAATAGCCAAAAGATAAAGGCACCTGCATTAAATGTGGATGACTAAAGCCAGCATTTACTTTAATCTAAGGACAATTAAACAGATAGAGCCTACTAAATCCTCTCCATCCTGCTTCACTCAGAGCTGATCACAACCATTGGGGCACCCCTCACAGCCCCACTGTTTTCAGTGGGAAAGCTGCTGAGACAGTGAAGTCTTTAAGAAAACTTTTTCACTATCAGCACACTGAGAAAGCCATAAATCATATCCATAAAACAGCGGAGGTGGTAGCAGATGTGGGACTCAGGTATGACTTTCCCATCTCTAGGCAAAGATCCCAAAAGCAGTGGGAAGGAATGGTCAGGCTTTACAACCTTTTAACTAAGTGGCTTGGATGCTCACACAGGAAAAATCCTTTATTCTGGTCTCATATGGCTGTTCTGCTGCCCTGTGCTGAAAACTAGAAAGTTCTTGCTGCAATGGAAAATTAAGGGTCTTGTCTAACATTTGTATTTTTGTGACATATGCTAAAGCTGTAACACACCAGTACAGCAAACACCCAGACAGTTCTTGTGAATGTTCCTGTTTTTCTCACAACAATAAATTATTGTTCAAGCCTTTTCATTTTTAAGAAACGTTTGGTTTGATCCCATTTCTGCAATGACTTTTTACCCCTAGTAGAGCCAAAAGTCTGTAAACAGCTTTAGTGTGTCTGCCCAGGTTTCTCTTCTCTCCTTTATTCTTCTTTCTCTTCCTCTTTCTTTTTCTCTTCTCATTTTGCCTCCAGCTCCTGGGTCATAACAACTCAAATTCAACACTAGTTTTCTGGCCTTTGAAAGATTACAGTCTTTGGTAGCACCCTTAGTGCATCCTCTYGCTGGGGAATTTTTTAACTGTTTTGATTTGTTTGCATTTTTGAAAGCCTTAGGTAAGGAGTTGCCCTAAATAGAGACAATAAAAGAAATCCCCTGGCTACAARAAGTTCCCTTTTCTGCAGAAACACTGCTGTCCTTGTGGGCTGTTTGGATTGTTCTGCTACAGTATATTCCAGTTTAGMAACTAAGTACCCAAATCCCAAAACTTCAAAGTTCAGTCTTCCTCTTTGTGTTGCAGAGACATATCTGAGAGWACACACAAAAACACACTGCTTCCCTGCTGCCTTCTCTGCAGGCTCAGGAGATCTTCAGAGTGGGAGCATGAAAAGGAGAGAGAAAGGCAGGTGAACAAAAACTCCAACTTCCTTCATTTTCCATAGTCCCGTTTGACTCTCCATGATATTTTTAACTGCTCTGATTTTATTACCTGGGTACTTGTCACTACCCTTCTCCATGAAATGCAGTACGTTACTACCACAAAATTGAGTRCTGTCTTCCAAAGATGAAGACATAATAAACTGTGGGGTTTTTCATTGTTTCTGATCAGAAGTCCTTTCTTCTTTATAGCAMAGTCAGTGATCAAAAAGTACCTACATTGTAAAATATAGAATTTGTTTTATCTGCAATGAGTAGATGAAACTTCTGRCAATGGACTGCTTTTACCTCTGAATGATTATCATGGCTCAGACCTGATGTCCAAGCTTTCAGTGTCTTTGTCTGTTGATACCTAGAATGAGATAGGGGTAGTCATGGTGATCCTTACCAAAATGAGCTGCTGATTTGTTTAAATCTGCTTTTTGGTGGAATAACCACCCATAGTTACATGCACCTCATTTCCTCCCTTAGTTTCATAACTATGCTTCAGAAAAACTTTGTCACATTTTTATTCACTACTAGCATATGAACAGAGTGAATGCCCATGAATTGATCTTTATAAAGCCACCATTGCTTTAGATCTTTATTCAGTATAACTAATACTTACAATGAATGTAAGAGAATGAAACCAGAATATAAATGTCCACTTGTAGCTCGTCAGTCACTAATTTCACACTCTAGCCAGAATCCAGGAAGCAGAAATTGTCATGAGCCCAGGCATTTCTGAGTCTCTATAAAGCCAGTTCTCTGTCTCCAAGGAAAGTCAGAACAGCACTACCTTGGGCTTCCTCTCTTGGAATAACAATATCCTAGTTGTGTACAAATAGCTGGGATGTAAGATCTACTGCTGATATGGTTTAATCATTCCATGTGCCAATAAAGAAGCTGTAGAGTAGGAATGACCTCGGGATTTTGATAAAGACAATTCCTGGAGCATTCTGGAAGACTGCTGGGCAGCAGGTGAGTTTTTCCAAATATAGTAGCTGAGAAATGGGAGTGGTAGAGAAGTACATGGGCTGTTCTCTTTCCTAAAGGTTTTTAATTCCATGCAGAATGGATCTACCTGTTTTTAAAAGGAAAATGTTGACATGTCTTGGTGTTTGAAAAATGTCATACTTTCTARTGATGCTTCAATTTCAATGTGAAGAAATGAAATTACATGGATTTTAAATCTCCATATTAAGCAAATTACATTGTCTTCTGTGAAGCAAAGCCTTTCAGGGTATAAGGGAGCTTTTGATGTTCTATAGTGTCTATAATGACACTCTTCTTTTGAAAATGCACAGCTGTGGCCTGAGAAGGTAACAAATGTTCAGCAGCAGGGCTTGGAGTGACTCTTTGTGGCTGRAATTTTTTTCTGTTTTAGTGGTGGCTTGTGGTTTGGCTATTTTCACACTGGGAGAAATGGACTGAGGACAAACCCATATTACACTTCCTGATAGTGATATAACTTACCTGAAGATTTCATACCCAATATTTGAAATCCTCTTTTTCCRCCTGGTAAAAGAACATTTACACTTTGCATTGTCATCTCCCTGAGAACCCCCACTATCCCTGCCCAGCCCCTGGAGCTTCTCCCACCATGCCCAGAGCCCAGAACCCCACATCAGCCCCCTGGATCCATCCCCTGCACAGTGATACCACAGCAAGGGCAGTCTCCAGGTTCCCCMAACCCTGTCCTGCCTGGACATGGACCCTGCCAAGCTGAGCCCACCCTCAGGTCTGTGACCCAWCCCAGACCCCAAGGAGGTGCCTGTTGGTTGGGGTTGGGGCTGCCCTGGGCTGCCCCTTTTTATTAAAAAGTAAATATTTTTATACACTTGATTCATTCCCAAACAGGAGCAGATTCTAGTGCAACAAAAAGGGAAATTTAACCAGCTAACTTCTTGTTCATGTTATATGAAATCCTGAGTTGAGCAAGTAACAAAATTTGCTATGAATCAGGCGGGAAGTGATGAACATTTATTTTGCAACACTTCCGATGCTCAGCTGGTTCCCCAAAACACAAGCACCAAGGGAAACAACCCTATTTATAGTTATACAGCTTTTAAAACATGGTCTATCTTCTATGAGCCTGAAGACTGTAGCAGAAAGATAAACGAGGTAAAGACATTTTGAAATAGAAGGTAGGTCCATCTTTTTCTTTCCAACTGTTTTGTTTGCTGAGGTATTTACTGAGTCTATAGGAAGTCCTGGACTGCAGGGGTGAAGTCCCAGAAAAAAATCTAAAAACCTGTCAGACGAACATGTGCAACTAAGTTGAATAAACGATTTTTTTTTTTTTTTTGCAAATAAAGTACCTGCTTCATGCTAAGCAAGATCCTAGGCACAATTTTCATTTTTTGTAGAATTTGTAGAAGTTAGACACTGTTCCTCAATCATAGTATCATATTCACAGAATGATTTGTGTTGGAGAGGACCCTGAAGATCACYTAGTTCCAACTCCTCCAGGGACACGTTCCAGTAGGCCTGGTTGCTCAATGTCCGAACCAACCCAGCGTTGGATGTTTCCAAGGATGGTGTATCCACACCTTCTCTGGGAGACTGTTCCAGTGCCTCACTGCCCTTCCAGTAAAGGCTTCCTTTCTTGTATCTGAYCTATGTCCTTGAAAGCACATCAGTTAACACCCTCAGCAAACATACCTTATTCTACATTGGGTAACTTGAGAKGATTGGTATTGCTGGTCACACCAAAAAATATTTTGGTATTTTCTCTTTGCAGCTGTTAACCCACCTGCCTGATATCTATTCATCTTTAACTTTGTATATAGCAGATAGAAAAATAATCTTTAGACCTTAAGATAGCAGACAGGCAATGTATGTTTATGCCTAAAGTTTATGCAGTTCTCCCGAGATCACCATGGATTTTTTTCACRCAAACTGTTTTGTTGAAGCTATAATCATATCTCTGGAGAATTTACCCATAAAAAAAAATTTCACTGAATCTGTCAGGGCAAATAACTTTCAGTGTTAGCAACCAAAAAGAGATAATTCCAAAACCGTGCAATCATCAGCTGGAATCTAACAYACCTGACTGTGTGCCATGTTCCTCTAGCTTGGAGGAGTCACACTATTTTTTCTCACCACAGATATTCCTGTGTTTGCAGGCATGAATGGGTCAGCCATTGAAAACTTCTCCTGTGTSATCTATAACATTTTCCTCATGAACTGCACTTGGCAGGCAGGAAGGGATGCTCCAGCAGATACACARTATTTCCTCTACTGGCAGAAGTCAAGGTAAGCAGGTCTGCTTGAGCCAGGGAATTCTGAATTCTCCTTCAACACATCACAGCRCTCATTTTAACTAAAATATCTTGTGTWTGCAGATATGATGAKGAGATGGAATGTGAGCTTTACATTAAAGAYGAAAATGGCAGAAATATGGGATGTGTCTTCCAAAACGTGAGCATAGGTACTGAAAAAGCTTACTTCATGGTGAATGGGTCCAGCAAAGACTCCCTGATGCAGTTCTATGATGAGTACATTGATCTGTATAAAATTGGTAAGGAAATAATTTATTTTGGCTTTATTTTAATTATTGTATGAAAATAGTATCACATTATCCCTGAGAAGGAACTGTGTACCCTGTCTCACCTAGAGCTGAAAGTAAGAGACCRTGGCCTCCTCAAGAAAACTTATTCCCCAAGCAAAAGTGCAGCGAGGGGAATTAGACAAGAAAGCTCCACAGCTGCATTCTGTCTCAGATTCTTTAACAATCTACCCTTATGGRTTTTAGGTTTTTCTCAAGCAAGGTCTACAAGTCTTAGAAAACTGTACTTTCCCCTGCTGCCTTTCAGTACAGCTTTCATCAGAGGAGTGGGGAGACTTTTTAGACGTTTATCTGAGCACTGATTGCTGCTTTTCATTGTCAGTGGGGATGACATACAGGACACCATACAGCTGTCTAAATTAATTAATTCATGTACAACATACCTTACACATGTGGTGCTGTACTGGAAAGCATCTTGTGCAGTTACTCTTACTGTGGCAAAGTCTCTTTGGAAATGTCACACTGCTTTTGGTATTGTGCTAAAAAAAATTAATAAAAAGCTTCATTCTATAAGAAGAAATTGAGCTTAGATATCACTTACAGCAGATAAAACAAGATTGTTCTTTGACCAAGCAGCCCACCTCAAATAGACCAGGCCTGTCCCTAAAGACTGATCTAAAGCAATAGTCTATCTGATATTAAACTTTCCTCTGTCAGCCTTTTGTCCACTTTCTGCCATGAGTGACGTGTTTTGCTATTCCAATAATCAAGTCATTGATAACGATCAAAAGATAAAGGTCCCCGTACTTCTGTTTAACATCTGTTAAGCAAGGAGAGATACATGAAGAAGTTGGCTAGACTGATAAAAATGCAGAAGTTGGAGACCACTAAAATTTCTTAAATTTGTATGGCTATTTCTTTTGCAAGGAGGGAATAAACTGCATGGCTCACAGCAGCATGAAAGTAACACCTTTGTCTCACAGAAGGTGACAYTGTGAGGACTTAGATTTTTAAAAAGTTTAAAAATACTTTTGAATTTCTCACTTTAGGGATGGCAGCAGCTATTKCATAATAAAAAACGTTCTCTTAGAAAGAAGACAGTACCTTATTCGTCTAGGAAAGTAAATGACGGGATTTATATCTTWTCATGCTTCTATCTCATGTTCCCTGCCTTAGCACTTCTTTTTTTCTGGTCCTTTGTACAAGATTTAGAAAACTTTGGTCTTTCAACTGTTTCTAACAGATCCTAATAAAAATGGATACAAAAGAGTATCTTTCTTCGTAGAGATGTTATTTGCAATGCTCTCCTTCATCAAAATCAAAAAGAGATCAGGTGATTTTAATTATTTGAATTCTTGGGTATATAATTTCAGAAAAGCTCATGCCTCCATCAAGAATCACAGTCAGCTGTGATGAAATTAAAAATGATTGCATCATTCAATGGCAACGACCCCAAATAAGTCATTCGAACAAAGACAAGTGTTTTAAATATGAAATCAGCATAAAGTATAAGGTAAGAATGTCTTCACTTATGTTTAACATTAATCCATATGTTTGCATTTAACAATACACATGGGTGAAAAGAAAATCAGTCTCACTTGTACAATGCAGTCTTCCCTATACATAGCACCTTATTCCTTTGTGACTGCACTTTTCAGGTCCATATCAAAACCTGTCATGCMATTCTGCCCCATTTTAATTATTTTTTAATCCCTGCTCCCTGAGTAAGACACTGCTGGAGACAACAGTGGATAGCTGGGACAGTCCCAAAGGACAATTAATATCAAGATTTGAACATATCACAGCTTTGTCTGTGGCAGTAGTCAGAAATGGCACTTCTTTCACAAAAAGCTGTTGGAGTTGCCCTGGATTGGAGTCTTTCCAGTGGAGACTGGATCTCTGTGGAAGGGCAGAGCTRGGCTTTAAATAGTGAAAAGAGAAATTGCACATTCACTTAACAAGTTTCAGGTAATGGAAGTGAGTGAATTTTCTCCATTTATGAAATGCAAATAGCTTATCCAGATATAAACATCACATCTGATGGTCCAAAAGTTTAAGACTTATAAAGATAAATAAAAGGAAAATAAATCAGAGAGAAAGCAGAAAGGCAGTGTGATTAAGGACAGGCTAGAGGGGGAATGAGCTTGCCCCTACAATCTTTTGGCAGCAATAGGGAAGGAATGACACTGTCATGTTCCACTGCCAGAGGAGATGTAAATTACTGTGGCAAATGGCATCAAAAGACCACAGGGTGGCAGATAGAGACTACAAAGGAAAAATTTTCCTGCATTACAGCCAGATTTGGCTGCACACTTAGTGACTGAAAGCATTCCCTGGATTTCTGAAATTTGGCATTTCTTAGTCAGGATTGGGTTTGCTGTTTCATAGATAATTTTTTTCGCAAGCCTAACTAATTGCCATGAAATAGCATTGCTTCTCTGAATCCCTTAGCTGTTGCAACAAAGAAACCTTCTTGAAAACTATGTGTGACATTGGAATAAAAGTCCGTTGCTGTAAAACAATATATATTTTTAATAGCTTTTAATCTGTGTAATATTCATTYTATAAAGAATGCTCAATCCACACCTTGCCTGAATTTTCTAGCTTTTTTAATAATCATTAGCAGTTTTCACCTAGCTAATTATGTCAAGATCAAGCAATTATTCCAGCAGTTGTTGAGCATAGGCTCCCTTGACACTTACAAGATGTAACTATAATAATATCTTTGAAGGATTTACACATAAAAAATTCTTCTGCCAAATTTATTTGGTTTTTACCAATGCATTATGAGGAACAAATGCTCGATTCCAGGCAGCCACAATGCACACAGCAATGAACAGAAGACTTTTATTACCTCAGTGTCCCAGCGAGGGTTCCCCAGTAGTTTCYTGAGTGGGGTAAAGGGGAAAGTAAGGCAATCCCTGGCACTGTGGAGCTACRGCCCTTGGCAGAGGACAATGGGCTTGAGTTTATGAGACAGCACATGAGCACCAAGTGTGATGCCTGCAAGAAAAACCTTGGGAGTGACCATGCAAAAAGCACCCGGCTGATTAGGGTAGAGCACGCTATACACTGCAAGTTTTGGGAAAATCCAGCCAAAGGCAAC